TTCAGATTGTAACTTAGTGTGAACATAGGGCGTGCGTAAATGTGGTATTTGATGGGATGTGGATATGGGTGTGTGAAAACAAAACCCACATCCACCTTCACTCGCTCGACTTTATTTAAATAGTAGGAAGGAATGTGATATATACCGTTGTGCACAACAAGTCAAAATCTATCCAGTGGTAGCTGAATTAGTTTGAATACTGGAGGAATTTTAATGTAAAAATTGATAAAAAATGATAGATCAGTTTTTGACAATTTTTTTCTAAGTATTTTTAGAGGTGCTTCAAATCGATCCATTCTAGTCGACCAAAAGTAGACCTTTAGATCATAATACTTTGGTCTATTCGATAGTTTACGAAGATCTGACTTCATTTGGGATGTTGTTCGAACTCTGTTTATTACCATGCTTTCGCTGTCTCTGGCTTTTTCATTGAACGTCTCTTTAATACAGATTTTCGTTTCCAATTTATTTTCCGTTCCATAGCAATGGAAAAAAATATGTCGGCAAGACGTATTTTTCACTGAGTTCATCAATTTATTTTCATTTTAATGCTCTTAATTGTTATGACTGTTTCTGATTTCTACCGTTTTTCCTTCTGATTAGAGTGTGGGGTGTGAATGTGTGGGACATGGGTGTGGGTGATCTCTCTAATCAGATCCATACCTGCAGCCACGCCCACCACATGTGCATCCTACATGTATAGATACAAATAAAGGAAGTGTAATTTGATATCTATTGTATAGTTTATGTACGAATGAGCATGTAATAAAAGACGTTATTATTTTCTATTCGATTTATTTTGGAAGATGTAAATGATCAATTAAATAACTTTGTTTCTCATAAATAAAAGTTCGGTTGGTTTGTTCGAATGATGAATTGTTACAATAAACGAAAATTGAACAAAGAATATGACCATTGAAATGATTGCCTATAAATAAAGTAGAACTATAAATGGATATATATTTTTATTAAATTAGATTAATTGTTTAAATTCCAGATAAAATTTTTTTTCAGCTCTTTTCATTTGATCTGAACAAAAGAAAAATAGAATTTGATTTAATTTTCAATCATTATTAGATCGATTTATTGAATGAGTCGAATATTGTATTTGATTCTATGTCGAAACTTATTAATAACACCATAACAAAGAAAATGAAAGGAATTAGATGATGTAAAAATAAAGAATAAAAAGATGTATCAATTATGGATAACAAAATACTATCCGGTTTACGAAGAAGTAGCATAAATTTTTTTGAAGTAAAATATAAGTACTTGATATGAAATTCTCAATGAAAAAATAAGTGATTGTCGAATTGATTTATATCTGAGGGTGTGGATCTTGTTAAAGCGAAGACGCACATCCACATCCTCAGACGCTTGCATGCAGTTCGGATCGAAGAAATAAAATGACAGGTACAGGCAGATTAGGTCGGCAAAAAATCATTCCAATTGGATCTCTTATATATATATATATATTGAAGCTTTATTTCGAAAATAGTATAGCAGTTCCCTTACATCGACTGTACACATGAAGGTTCATTGACAAAAGCGGGTTTTATGCGAAGCATAATAATAAAACAAGAATACGATTTACAAAGCCTTGTTTTAATAAATCAGCAATTTAGAAAGAATGTTTTGAAATTGACACAGTGATACAAAAGCGAATAGCGAGTTAAGTATGAAAGCAGTAGAGAGAATGAACGATTGTCAAAATCGATGAAAAGTCATTTAGTCCTTCTGTTATTCATTGTTTACCGGTGAGCCAAAGCACAAAACCGCTCACGTTTCCATGATGAAAGATCAAAAGCTAGAAAATTATAGAATAAGTCACTGAAACTCTTAGGAAATATTTAACAAAGAACTACCAATACAGCGATTGACACTGCAACTGTTGTTGAATGTGTCTTGCTTGACTCCGACGACGCTTCTAATGATGTTGTGTGATCTGTTATTGTCGTTGTTGTTGTTGTTATTGTCGAAGTCGATATTATCGTTGAACTTGAATCTAAATTCATTTAAATAGAAAAGCTATTAGCGCAATTCCTGTAAGATTTAAACATGAAACACAATGTGGCTATTGAGCTATTGCTACTAATCACAAGAATATTGCTTTATTCGATCTGCTTTGGAACCCATTTCTTAGTCATCTTCTACTTAATCCTCAAGAACTTCAAGAAGGAAGTAGTTCATATATGCTCATAAGATATTAGGGATATATGATCGCTAATCGTGTATCAAAAACGTCCGTCACGGTCTGTGATCATTTTCTGAGACCTATCTGTCATGACCTGTGGATGAGGAGAGTGTCAGAAGATGGATGCAAATTTCTGCCCGATGTACTTCAATACTTCTTTCAGATCGTGTTTCACAATAGCAATGAGCTGCATTTATTGAAATATTTAATACTCACCAAAACTGCCAACTATCTGAAATTTCTGCACTCGATTATTGAGTCCTTCGCTAATAAAGAGAGATCCATAGCTATCAAATGCCAATGCAATCGGTATATATAACTTATCAGCTTCAATTCCAACAGTACCAGTACAAGCGACAATACATTCGCCAAAAATCGAATTTGGTGGCCATCGAAGAATTCGATTGTTTCCTGAATCGACTATATACATGTATTCATTTGAGTCAACAACAATTCCAATCGGTAGGTATAACTGAGATAACTCATTACCGCCCACTCCAGTGCCTGCCACTTTTACACCGAAGGAACCTCCCTTATCCCACTTTTGGATTCGGTGATTTAAATAATCCGCAACGTACAATGTTTCAGCTTCATTGACATATATTCCCCATGGTCTATTTAACTGTGAAGTACCATTTCCGTTGATGCCATCACCAGCGATTATCACACCAGGCATACCACTTGATGAGTTCGATGAATAACGAACCACTATGTTATTGAAATAATCACTTACATACAAGTTCTCATTATTGTCGACAAATATACTGTAGCAAACACCAATGAGTGATGTATTTAGAGTGGTCCCCAATTCACCCGTGATTCCAGCAATAGTGACCGGGTTTGTTCTATTTTTGAACAGTCTTACCACTCGGTAATTGAAGGAATCTGCGATGTAGATATATTTTTCAGTGAGAAAAATATCACTTGGATAAGAAAACAGAGGACTGGAGTCAGGTGCATTTTGAATAATATCTATAGCCATAGTTGAATCAGGTCCGATTAAAACAATTCGATTATTACTTGAATCGGCAATGTAAAGGATATTATCATTTGTTATTCTTATTCCTTGATTAAAATATAAAGTAGATGGAGACGATCCATGTGTACCATTTGCTAATCCTGCGACTGTAATGGCATTCTGAGCCCAATGTGTAGAGGCTGATAGATTTTGTTGTGCTAAACATATATACAAATATCGACATCAAGTAGTTTTCCTATCACAGTGCATCAATATTTTCTATTATATTCTTAAGCGTTTATGAACACTGAAGCCTAGCAATATGATTCTCAGATTCTTCTTCGTGACTTGTTTTCAATAACATAAGAGTTGTTACAGTAATGATTGTGAGACGAATTAGACCAATCGAGAACTTACGACCAGGCGCTAGTTGTATGTGTATATTTATCATTCCATGTACTTTTATCTCGTTTTTCTTCTTCTCTATCCAAGTTATTGATTCGTTTCTTCTATCCATTGAGTATATATGAGGCGAAAAGGAGCATGTTCAAAGACTTTCGTATTTATATAAAATAAATTCTATATTAAAGTCAGTAAAGACGTCACACGGATATCCTATCTGACGTATCTTAGCCTTATTCGAGGTTCTAGTGAGTAACCAATACACTTATGATATATAATGCCCCAAATTCTCAACTAGATAGCAAGTCTTAATATTGGATCTTAGACTACTCTTTAAAAGAAATCAATAGTTTACATCGTAGTGTTTTGTAGTTTCGAGAATATTGATTATTTGCCTTCAAAAGTCGATAATAATGAACATATAACACTTTCTTCTTAACGCAAGGCATCAAACAGAAAAACCTTTACAAAGGATAGATTCCCTGTTTTCATTTAGGTGACGGAATCGCTCTTGTTTGTTCGCTTTTTCCTATCTAAACTCTTTTTAATATAGGCAAAATCTCAAATGGAAATATCTGATAACCGAATCGAAATCACTGCGGAAGCCGACTGCATAGATACTCTCGCTAGTTGATTGTTACACTACTGAATAAAACAGTGATCTCTATGAGTTGAACCATATTGTGCCTGAGCATTAATAAATCTTAAGATCTCACAAACACGTACAAATATTGATCTGATGACCGCTGAATGAGAAAGAGAATATAGTTCTTACCGACGATGCAATGCACGAATATCATCATAAGCATCAAAATGCTAATAATTGTCGTGGATGACGTGTTGTACATGGGCATTTTGTGTTCACACTACACTAAATGTGAAAACAAGTCGGTTAAGTAATATCTTTGTTGTTGGGAAAGAATGATTTCTAAAAAAAAAAAAATTAAGAATCTCGCAGGAAAATGTGTCTACAAGATAGCTCAAAAGTTATTATTCTAAAACCAAATCAAATATTCTGCCGCATTCTTTTGTGAGAATGCGTTTTTTTTACATTGTTGATACAGAAAATGTTCTTAGGTCATATAAAAAAAGGTCTTTACCAAAAACGTTTCCACATGTCATAATTGTACTGCATAGGAATAAAAAATGTTTTTCTTTACTTCTACAAATAATCTAGATTACCGTTATCATCAAGAGGAACGATGAAGATAAATTGTTCTATCAATTCTTCTAAGTATTCTTATTTAGTCTCATATTTACCTGAACGTTTCATATCTTGTTACATCAGTTGACTCTCACACTTTCAGCGATATACGGATAAAATATACTACCGAAATTAGCCTATGCTCCATATCTTCTTATATATTGACAAGTCAGCTACAACAGTTTCTGATCCGCAGACTATCTTAATAAATCAGTAAAAATTATCCAAGAAACAAAAATGGAGCAAAATTGCTAATAAGACTATTATCACAACAAAATTTGCTCTTGATAATACATCGAAAAGAGTGCGACGAGATATTCGATTGCTTTCAGAATAATGACTTTGGGATTACAGTGCGGCGCCAAAAAAGCATGCACTTTTTTGTTTTTACGCATAAACGAATAAAAAGGATATTCTAAAAATTCTCTTTCATATCAGACTTTGTAGAGCTTTTTTCGCTGATCATTTTGGTAAAAAACGTTTTTGATTTTCATTGAGTAATAACGATGTTATAGCCAAAATACTAAACACTGTAATATAAAGTAGAGAAAAAAGTTTAGCACACTTTTAGTATTTGGCTAATTTTTACGTTATTTCACAACATCTGAAAGATGTTCTATATATCATTCGACGCAGAATTTAACGGGCTACATTTTGGTAACAAGCGCTTATATTTTTATTATAGTTAATTAGTTAAATTATCAGTTAATTACTAGTTAA